CCACACGGAAAGCTGGTCCACTTTCAGACATCCTATCCTCAAACCAGTACCTCCTACCTTTCCAGCTCCTTAGTCTCATCTGCTCCCACTATAACCGTTTGCCAGTCTCAAGACTGCCAACCCATTACCTTTTTTACTTTTCCTTTCTCCATGAGGCCCCTCCACACCTTGTCTTAGATTCAAATTCCATCATTTCAGGCAGTTTCTTGTAAATAACAGCCTGTGCTTTCATTGCATTTGGCAGAATGTTATTTCTGCAAACATCCAACGATCTTTCTCTGTGCCCACCGCTGCTCTGGTGCCTCTGGAGGAAATGACCCAAATGGAGCAAACTTATAGCACTTTAAATTTTTGAATTCCAGCCTCAATTGGGCCCTCAATGCTGCCCCAGGTTCTCCCATCTCCTTTTGTCCAACTCATTCTCCCAAGTTACCATGTTAAGCTTTTTTTACTCTTCTCAAGTTTCAACCCTGCCATCTCCCTTTATGCTTAATATTAGACCCTCTTCCTACTTTTTCTGAGGATGTAGTTCAGGCCAAAACTGCCACATCTTCCGCCATCAAACCTACAGCCTACCTGCCCACGTCTGAGTCCATTCTTTCCTCCTCTTAGACTAGGAGAGATGTCCCATGGCTTCTTGTCTTCCGAGAATCTTGCATGATCCAAGATTTCTCTCTATTTTTCTGCTCCGTCCCTCCCATTGACACTTACAGATGCTCAGATCTCTTACAACTTAAAAAATTCCTGAGTCTTAATTCCAAAAGCTACCATTCCCCTATGCCTTCCTCTTAGCAGTCAACGTTTCTAGAAGGAATTATCTAAGCTTGTCGCCTCAGTTTCCTCTTCTCCCATGTACTCTTCCAACTACTCTAAACCAACTTCGGCCCCTCCAGCCTTTTCAAAACGGTGCTCACTCTAAAGTGACCGGCGGCCTCCCTGCTGCTAAATCAAGTGGACATTCTCCGGTCCTCACCTCATGTGATTCTCAGCAAGAGTCACAACTGTTGACCCCTCATTTTTCTTCCCTCCCTCTGTTCCTTCGGCTTCTATAGCTACACGGTCTCATTGATTCTCTTAACGTTCTGGCAACTTCTCAGAATCTTTGCTAGCTCTTCCTCCCACCAATGGACTCAGGTGCTGGAGGTCCCCAGACTTTGGTTTTACTTCCTTTGTTTCCCTCATTTTGTATCCTTTCTCTAAATGTTTTCATATAAACACACAGCTTCAAATATCAGAGTTTCTAAAAGTGTGGATCTTGTATCAAGATCACTTGCAGAAGATGAAGTAGGGGAGTGCTACCAGTTAAAATGCAGGTTCTCAGGCCCAGCTCAAAGGCTACCAAATTAACTCTGTAAGTGGGGACTGGGAACCTGCATTTTAAATAAATTCTCCAGGTTATTCTCATACCACCTAACGTTTGGAACCACTAACTTGCTGTGACACCAACAAGGACAGCTCAACATCTCCTTCTGCTGACTTCCTAACAGCATTGCCTTATTTTCTTCTCACACGTTAGAAAACTTAAAAATGTGAACAACAGGAAGGAACTACGAACAAATGACAGGAGTGAATTATCTGCCCCGTGAGTTTTCAAGGTTGGGTTATGTCATCTCTTTTACTTTTCTAGTTCCAACAGAGAACTCAGCTAGGTTCAAGTTTCAAATTTGAATCTTCAACTAAATAAAAACACAAGAATTAGCCCTAGTTGGTTTGGCTCAATGGTTAGAGCGTTGGCCCGCGGACTGAAGGATCCTGGGTTCAATTCTGGCCAAGGGCACATACCTTGGTTGCAGGCTGGACCCCCAGCCCTGGTTGGGACGAGTGCTGGAGGCCACCAATCCATGTGTCTCTCCCTCTCTCTCTGTCTCTCCCCCTTCCACTCTCTCTGAAAAGTAATGGAAAAAATATCCTCTGGTAAGGATTAAAAAAAAAAAAAATGCTAACACAAGAATTAGAATGACTATTTCATCACACGAAGTCTCTTAAAATGGAACGAGTTTAGCTTTTTTGAGGTTGGCTAATAAAAAGCACTCTACTTTCCACTACAATTTTGTTATTCTAGTTATAAAAGTAGTATTCAGTGTAAATCAATTTTTAGAAGATAAAAATTTTATGAAGAAAATGAATTCTCTCATAATTTCATTGCCAAGATATTTTATACAATTTTAAATGTGCAGTATTACCTTTCATTGTTTTTTTCTGTGCATATTTTCCCCCAAATAATTAAAATATATACTTTGACTTTTGTTCCTTAGTTTGCTACCAGCTCTGCAATTTCCTCGGCTTTTAATTGTATATTACACTTCTTTTACCTAAGACACTCAACAAAAGCTTCTGGGTTTCGTTGACTGACCACACTCTCAGACTGCCTAGCTTTTCTCAGTGCCAATTCTTAGAAGACCACATTGTTACCTCTCCTCCATATATATCAAAACCCGTTTACTCGAATTACGTGGATTCCTGACAATGTTTTCTCATATTCTGTAGTAACCAGTGGTGCAGAATCTTGTTAAGGTTGTTTGAAAGCCTGAACATTCCATCCCTTATTTATTTCCTAAAGGACTCAAGATGCTATAGAAAACTTCTCAGTAGATGAGTTTTTGGTGATGGACCTTGAGGTATGAGTTTAAGAGACAGTCAGGAAGGAAAAGACAGGGCAAACAATAGTAACAGCACCTGAAAGGATATAGAGGCATAAAAGTATGGTGTTTGGGAAAATGCAACGTGGCTGGCACAGTGTGTGGCCGTGGGCGAGATTGGCGGGGGAGGAAAAGCAGAAGGAAAACCAGAAAGATAACTTGGGACCAATAGTGGACCATAATAACCATAGCTGTGAACCAATTATAGAATATTGATTATGTGGCAGGTACTGTACTGATGCTTTACAAACATTTCTTTGAATCCTTTCAGTAATGAAATTTTATAAGGTTCACTGTATTCTAATCACCAGATTTGAATTTTCCAATTGCTTTCAAGCACAGCAGCTTCCCTTCAACTCGAGTAATTAATCCACAAGTTTGGTCTTCCACATGCCCCCAGTCTTTATTTTGTCAAGCTGGTGCTGCCACTTAATAGTGAGACCTCGGGCAAGGCCCTTAAACTAGTTAGGCCCCAATGGAAAAAGGGAGATGTGATGAGGAAATGAGATCACTAATATAAAGCATTTAGCACACAAAACGCGCTAAGACGTACCTATTATTAAGGCAACGGGAAGGAGAAATTAGTCTGACAAGACGCCCCTTCATCTCCCAACAACTGAGGCCTGTATTCCTGTCTCCATGAAGTCTCAGGTTTGCTTTAAAATATATCAACAAATAAAAGGATAGAGCAAACAAATGTGGCAAAATCTTGGTAACTGTTGAAAAGATGGGAAGTCATTGTGCTAGATTACTTTTTAAAGTTGTATACTTTTTTTTTTTTTTTTTAAAGAAAGGACCATTGAGATTATCATGCAATTTCTCTTTTAGGTCCTGGTCATGGGAATTGCACTGACTTTCAAGCGTTGGGCCAACCTTGCGTTCCTGGGGTGGACTCACCTTGACCATAAAGCATCGCTCCTTTGGGAAATAAAAGAATTGGGCTTGCTAGTGCTTTGTTTGGGATTCATGAGGGCGATGGCCTGTGGTTTTCCTTTCTTGTGGTAACTGAACCAGGCTTTGGTGTGGGGTTGCCTTGACCTCAAGGAATGAGTCAGTGTTTTCATTCTCTTTTCTACAATCTGGAGGAATTTTTATGGAGTTGGTGCTGTTTCTCTCTTAAGTGTTTTGACCTGAATTGTGATTACTCTTTCCTTTTAGATCCTTGATCTGTCAGTCATTAGGTGTATACTTTGTGGAATGTGTAGAAATAATCTTAAAAAAAAAAAAAAAGCTTTTGAAAAAAAGTAGGCAAAAAAAATTTTTTTTAATTAAAAAATGTGTCACTTAGCTAAATGCAGTGTAATCATTTTATCCTGACTACACTGAAAACTTCACCCCTGGCTGGATAATTAATGATCCTTTACAAAAATTTTCAACACTGCCATCATCACCACTGCCATTAACCAGGTGTATTACATATGCCATTTCCTTTAGACACCAGCATTGCCTCCCACATTTTAGAAAACTGAATCATAGCAAACAATGTCTAGGATTCAGGACTCAAACCCCAGAATTCTGACTGCAGAGAGTGGGTGCTTCACCTGCTTGTGACATTGTCATGGGGAGTCAACATGGCCTGGAGGGGATGGGAGAAAAGCGATAGACAACCTGGGCTCCAATCCACCCTTGCCTATAACTGGCTGTCAGACCTTGGGCAAGTCACATAATCTTCATGACCCTGGTGCCCTCGATGATAAAATGCAGGGTATGGTCCAGGCAGTTTTGAAACTCTGCCTGTGGGGCCTGCGAGTTTGGAGACACCACCGTGGGGTCAAGCAAGATGAGCAGCTTTCCTTCTTCTGTATGACGTACTGGCCTTCAATAGAATTTCATTTGCACTAAAATGATTCTGAGGCTTTAACGATTTTGAAACCACTTGTCTACTCATCAACTTCTGAGGTTTCTCTGTCCTTAATGATTCTATAGAATCATTAGATGAATGAGTCTATCAATATTCTATGAATGAGTCTATGAATATTCTATGATTCTGTGACCGATCCCATTATCTATTAAACTCCTAATTAAATGTGAACTATATTCACAAAACCACAGACGTCTCCTTCCCACCCAGTCATTTCTTTACCTTTCTAGAATAAATTCTTTACTTTTGAAATGATCTCCAGATACTCACTAAATTTTTTACCATATGATAAATCCCATTTAGAATTTATTTCCCCCCTACAAAATGACATTCTCCAGTATGTTATAATACATCCATGGCCTTACACTACTTTTCACTTATTTTCAGTAGTGTTCAGAGCAGACTCTCACACACTGTATAAGCATTCAAGTGACTCTTGAATCTGGATTACAATAAACTCACTCCTCAAAGATTTAAAAATCAAAGCATCAGACAAAATGTAAGTTGTTATGAGACTAGTTTTTGAAATACATAACTCTTACAGCACTAACACAATATTTACATCACAAGTTCTTTTTACAAAATATGTGTGCCATTTTGAAAGAATACTGTTGAGATCCTGATCTAAAATACCTGTCAGAGTTCGAAAAGGACTCATGGAATCTGGTCTCCAGAAATCTAATGCATAATGACATAAATAAAATATGGCTGAATGTCAGGGCTTACCCATACATAAAAATACTAATTCTCTATCCCAATGGTCAGCAAACAATGGCCTGTGGGCCAAATCCCGCTGGGGGCCTGTTTTTGTACAGCTGTAAGCTAAACATGGTATTGACATTTTTAAAGTTTAAAAAAATATTTTAAACTAACTAAACTAAACAGCAAAGAAGAAAATGTAAGAGACACAGATATGACCTGCAAGTATTTACTATGTGGCTTTTTACATAAAAAGTTTGCTGATCCCTGCATTATATGAAACCAATTGGAATATACTGATGGGTGTAATAAAAGACAACACTGTAAGGTGCCAGTACCATCAGCAGGACTCATTTCTAAAATGAGGCACTTCTGTTTGAATATGTACACTTCCAAAACATAATTACATCTGAAAAGTAGCTCTGCTACTTTAACTCTAGCCCTTTATAATTCCACATGAAATCACAGTATTCTTAGGGGCTAAAATAACAAGGACAAAGTATTCCAGATGTCAGTCTTTGAACTTGTCAGTAATTATCAGTCAGCGAAGACCACTTAACAGTCTTAAAACATTAATAAAATTCATAATTTAGATATTGCCAATAGGTGGTATTGCTGCATTATTTAAATAACATCTATAAAAACATGTTTAGACATCCCAATTCTTCAGAAGCAATAACAACTAGTTAACTTAGTAGCTACTTATTTTAAAAACGAGAAATGGAAAAAAGGAGAACAAAAGACCACAAATGTAAAACCACAGCAAAAGGCTTTGGAATGCAAAGACAGGTCCCTCGGCCACCGCAAGTGGCCTGGGCTTCTGTTGGAGCGAGATGGCCATGGTCGCGTGGGAACTTGGAGCTGTCTCCTTCCAGTCAGCGGGCCTCTTCGTTAAAGAACGCCAGGTCTGTGAGCAAATGCTTTCAGAGTAAAACCAGTTCAGAACTTGCTCAACACGCATTTTCACAATTCCCGGTCAACAGGCTCCACTCTGCCACGAAACAAGCACTGCGCTGGCTGCCTCCCCCTCCGGGCCCAGCGGCGACTGAAGCTTCCAAACGCTCAGTGAGTGCTGAGGTAGGTGACTTTCCAAGGAAGGTCTTCTATACCCGGATTCGATCAGGACTCGCTTCTTTCTGTATCCTCCTTCTGGGAAATATCTTCCTCTTAAGGGCAATTAACTAAATGATGAAAGACAGAAGCTAAATTTTAATTTCCATTCTGACAAACTTTGAAGTTTCTGAGAGTCATATGACCTTAACCATGTCCACAGTCTTACACATAAAAACAGACAGCAAACAAGTCTCGGTATTCTTCCCCCAAAACAAAATCAATCGCTGCTTTTGTTTGGCTTTGGACAGTTAATATACCTGGATATGTGCCTACAAGATACTTAACCCATAAGGATTAAAATTATTTTGGTCCAAGCTTCACTTTTTAAAGACCAACAGCGACAGATTTTTACAGTGATTACCAAGCAGTCATTTTCAAGATGCCTGTCAAGTCTTTCTATTGAAGGAAACTGGCTCTGCTTAGCCATTAAGACTCTGTCTCTAGGCTTAAAAATGATGAGATGCAAGATAGAATTCTTTAAAAAAAAATTAAAAACCTACATTAAAATCCTGTCACCATTTCTCCCTATAAACAGAGCAACAGTCATTTGAAAATACAGGCAATACCCAATTTATGAACGGGTTGCAAGGCAAGAAGTTCATTTGTAATTTACTAGCTAAGAATCTGGGCCCTGGTCCATGTGGCTCAGTTGGGTAAGCGTCATCCAGTGCACCAAAAAATTGCTGGTTCAATTCCCGGTCAGGGCACATGCCTGGGTTGTGGGCTCGATCCCCTGTAGGGGGTGTGCAGGAGGCAGCCGATCGATGTTCTACTCTCACATCAATGTTTCTCTTTCTCTCCCCTCTCCCTTCCTCTCCCTCTAAAAATCAATTAAATATTTTTTAAAAATAAATAATTTAAAAAAGAATTTGGATAAATATTTCTTTCTCACCGAAACAGTTTATTCATGATATATCTAAAATAGAAACTTGACCACCATTAAAATAAAGTTCTGGTGAAAAAAAGAAATGTGTTTTTATGGTTTCAATTTGGGATTCTACTGTCTACCCCTCATCTCAAGGAGAAGGCAGGGCTGTGCCCAAGAGCAAAGCCCCAGGGTCTGAATGATGAGCTGGGATTCTGGGGCAGAGGAAGAGGCAGCACTGGGTGGTCTGTCTGTGGGCATGGCAGAGGTCAAGGAATTTGGTTCAAGGGGATAAAGAGGAGAGGAGATTCATTCTTTTCTTCCCTTCCCCCTCCTCCTGCCCCTCTGGTTCCATTCTCGGCTGGTATAAACGACACAGATGAAAGATGGCCCCCTGTTCCTTTTCATTGCCACCAGCTGCTCCTTTCACCCACGGTCACTCCTACCCCACCGCAGGCGAGCACAGCAGGCTCACAAGTTCCTCACTGGACTCCTGTTCTAAAAGCAGGCGCAGTCTTTTTGAGATTTTTTTTCTTTAAGATTTTTACCTGCCAGGAACAATGGCAACAAATATCAAAAACAAGATTTATATTCCCTGGGGAGCAGTCCTGCTCGCCTGCCCAATTCTCCGCTTCCTCAATGTCCCCCTCTGCAGCAGGAAGCCCAGGCACTGTTTATCCTAAAGCTCAGTACTTCACCTCCTCCTTCTCAAGGTAAGAAAATATTTTCAGCGTAAGTTTCCCATAAGTCACAGCTGAAAAAAGCTCCACTAAGTCACCTGGAAAGGAGGCTGAGACTAGGCTCACTTGCCCTGCACAAGTCAGGTCGTCCAGACACCGCTCCCTTCCCTCTTCAATCCTTTCTCTTCAGAGCATTTCACACCTGGGCCTAATAAGGATTCTCTTGCCCCTTTCTCTTTACATCAGAAATCTGGCCCCTACTCCTGGAACCTCACCTGAAGGAAGTTGTGCCTACGTGGAAAAGTCTCAGCAACTCAAAAAAAATTTAAGTGGGAAAAATAAAGATAAGATACTTCAGTCACTTTTAGTAAGATTATAAGAAAGAAAGAAAAATTGAAGACCCATTTTCAAAAACAGTATCAGATGAGGATTCTAGGTGGTTTTTGGTTAAAAGTACTGAGAGCTTTTCAGCTTTAGCTTGAAGTCTGCAAGTTAATCTATTGAGGCCCAGGTAATGGATCTAGAAGACAGATGAAGGCTATTATGTGTGACGCCTGAATATTATGAAATGTATTTGACATAGTGACACATAAGCTATAAACCAACAGAAGAAATTCAAATTTTCTTGTGACTTTACATAATTTTCTAAAAGAATCAGATACTGATATATCAGAAAATACTGTTTGATCCCTACATAAAATATGTAAAACTTACCTGTTCAGCAAAAAAAGAGAATACAGTAAACATGATCAATGTTGCTAGTACGCAATGAGTCCAAAACTTCAATTTATCTCGATATGCTCTCCTGTTCAGAGAGAGAAGAAAGCAATTGTGTAGCTCTGTGCATGGTTTCACAATATTACTTAGAGTTACTTATATACCAGTTTAGCAAAGACAACCATGTGACACTGAAAAACATTGTTTGGAGGCAATTCTAAAATGTTACCACAATACTCATTTCCAACCTGAGTTCCAATTTTTCATTATATTTGAATTAGTAAAAGTTATTCAGGCAGAGAAGAAACTTCTAAAGAAAATTACTTCTGGCATTTAAACAAAAGCATACTTTCATTCATTTTTAATTATTCATTCATATTCACTTTTTCACTCAGTCACTCAATAAATACTTCCTGTGGCTACAGAGAGATGGACAAGATGAATTTCCTACTCTCAAGTGTTTATAAGCCTGGGAAGTCATTGACATGCAGACAACTAACCATCACACAAGATGGAGAGAAATATGTATTATCCAAAGCAAAGTCTTGTGGGAAAACTTAGAGAAATGAAGAAAGCATCTCAGAGGTAGGGACATTTCATTTAAGCCTTGAAGGCGGGGAGGGAAAGCCGAGTCCCATAGAACTGAATGCAGCCAGGCACCGTGGAATCAGGGAGAGCTACTCCAGGGGCCCGACAGCAGGTGGGCACGAACTTCGGTTTGTCTGGAAAATCATGTAATGGGGTTTGAACATTACTCCAGTGGAAAAGTGGATGAAACAGGGGGTGTGTGAAAACTGTGACCATTTGAAGGATGATGTCACCAGCAGATGACCAAACACAGGCAGTCACCTTAGTCCAGGCATGAGAAAGGAGCGAGGGGCAGTGAGAGTGGAAAGAAACAAGCCACAGAAGAAATATTCTGAGAGTACAATCAACTGGACTTGGAGACAGAATCCTGGGGTATATAAAGAGAGGCAATATAGCAGTTTCCTTATCTGTAAGTTGAAAATAAATAATTTATTATGAAGTTTAAATAAATAAGGCTTGGAAGATATGCTAATAACTACCAAATTCAGGTCTCTGTGCTGATTCTCAGTCACAGCTGTCTGGCAGTAGATGACTCTACCTCACGTCACATATTCATAGTGGTGCTCTCTCCCACTCACTTGTTCCTGCTGTATGTCCTACGTCTGTTGATCATAACAAGCTTCAGTCAGTTCTAATGTCTACAGCGTCATTCAGAATCTGTGTAATTTAAAGAGCGAAGAAGCCATAGACTGTAACACAGCTGATGAATTGCCCAGGAACTAGAGAGTCCTACAATAGCTGGAGGTAAACCAAGCTTCCCTCAGCCACCCATCCACTAAGCACCTACTATGTGCTAAGAAGGCACCATGGACTCAGACACAAGACACCACCTCTGCCCCTGAAGAGGGCTCAAAGACTACCAGCAGAGATAAAAACACCAGACACTGCTACCCTCAACAAACGGGAACAAGAAGAAAGCCAATCCGGAAACCAGGGGAAGATGAGAGGGGACTCAAGAGCACTGTGTCCCGAAAGGAAAGAGGAGAAGGGAAGTTTCTAGCAAGCAGGGCAGTGTCGGTGGGTCAGCAGTAAGAGGTGGTGCAGAAGCGGGAGGAGGAGGGAGCCCAGACCAGGGAGCCGCAAAGAGCACCCTCCGCCTGATTCTTCCGTCTGTACAGCTCAGAAGCCCAAGCTCTCTCAAGCTGCTCTCAGCCCACTCCTTTCTTATGTGATTGAGCTCCTGAAGGTGACTTCAGTCATAGACTGCACCTGGGGAGTGTTGAACACTTGAAACCATCCAAGTTCTTTCTCCTCTGAACTAAAGAAAAGAGAAAATGGGGAGAAGCCATTCCAGTCATTTCTGGAAGACAAGAGCCATTATTTAGTAATAGCTTCTCCTTATCAAAAGAAAAATATATAGATATTATCAATACACGTGCTAATTGTCTCACCAAACTCCAAGACACTAAAGAATTCTAACTTCTTCTCTCAAATCTCCCCTAATTCTGCCCACTGCTTTCTCTTTACTCCCTGGACTATGTCCTCGGTTCACACCTTGACTGTGTTTCAGGACAACTGAAGTGCTTATTACTTGTCTCCCTGCCTCCAGCTCCCAGACAACACTAGTCACTCCAAACAACTTCCTCACCAGTCCCACCCCCACACTACTGTGAGTTATCTTTCCAAATCATGAAGTCTGATCAAGACAAACACCTAAAAAAACCTCTCCTGGGGAGCGCCATTCTCTAAAGAAAGAAGTCTAACTCAGACACAGCCCTTCACAACCTCCCCTGGCAGCTCAAGAGCCCTCTTGCTCAGCTCTGTGCCTCCATCCCTAGTACCCAGCGTGGGGCGGGCGGCCAGGGACGGGGTTCAACATCTCCCTACACTGAAGGATAAGATTATCTTTAAGTGCTAGAAACTGAAAATAAAAGATGAAGGAAACATTATGAAGCAACTTTGAAATGGAGTGGACTGTGTGGGGGTGGGGGAGCGGCGGGTGAGGTGGGAAACAGGAGGGGAATCAGGCTGGACTTGCCACTCATCAGCTACTTCACCCTGAGCAAGTCACTCAGCTTCTACTACGACATTCTCATCTGTGATGTGGCTATAGTGGTACCTTTAGTTGTAAAGACTAAAGTAAATATATTGCCAGCACAGTGTCTGCCATGTAGCAGGTGCTCAAGAAGCAAGGTAGCTGCTCTGATGGCCGTGATGACAATGACCAAGGCTCAGCAGATAAGCTCAGCCAGTGAGAGCTTAGTAAAAGGTGTATTTCAACAATTAAGCTCAATAAAAACTATAAGTGTATTTTACAGAGCAAACAACACATTAAAGAAATGTCATCACTCTGAAACAAAATACACACACACATATACGAACCATGAGCACTTACCACTCCTGCAGCTCATGCATATGAAGAAAACGGTTCCGATACTCTCTTGGCAACTCAAACTGGGATGGGACAGGGAACATGGATTCATAGAAGTCCCTGAGGACAGCTTTCACTGTCTGGGCATCTTTATGATTATGATCAATGTTGTCATTCAGGCAAACAAACTTCCTGAGAATAACAGAGACCCAAGGTTACTGGGTATCATAAGGATGATCCTGACCTCACAAAACAAGAAAATGGGGATTCCAAAAATATTTTAAATGGATTTATGTCCCAAGATGTTACATTTACTGATGTGATTCTCTGAGGCAGTGATATTCTGTAAAATTTTTCTTTGGATAGTCCTCACCTGTAAAAGAGCTAGGAAAGATAATCTTAAGAGTGCCTTCTAACTATGGAATAAGTGAATGATTTCCACTTAGCATGTCCCCAATTAACTGTTCAATAAATGTAGTTTACTGACCAGGTCATTATGTTAGCAGCCAGGGAAAAATTACAGTACCTAAAACCAAGTTCTCTGAATTGATAGTTATATTACTAAGTATACTTAAGTACAAAATTCAGATAGCCTTATAGTTATAGATTCTATGAGTTCGATGATTTCTTAGTATTTCCCCAACCAAGCTGTAAAATGCTAGAGGTCTGGCAAAAGGCAGATTACAGTGTGCTCCCCTACTGTTTTGCCTTCAAAGTGAGTCACTAAACCAAGGGTCCATTAAAACAGTAGGTACGGATAACACCATTTTTGGAGTATACTTGCTAAAAAAAACAAAAAACCCCACAAAACCAAACCAAAAACCCCCACCAAACTTAAATCTAATAAAGACCTCAAATCCAACTTCCCATTTAAGTCAAAAGACTGATTTTCCACTCCTGACATGAGCCCCCATAAAAGTAAAACAAAACACGTAAGAGTTAAAAACAATAAAATCTGTTCAGGGTCACAGGAGCTACCTGGGCCTGGCAGACACTGCCGGAAGATCCAGCTTGCCATGTGTCTGTTTAGTAAAACCCTGTCCTTTATGTACCATGGAGGTCTATGAATTCTCTCACCCAACAACTTTCAAACTGGAACAAAGACATAAAAATATGGGATACAACTAAAACCTGCAAATTCTCACATGGTGTACAGATCACTAATGACTGAGAGGGGACATCAACAGAATGAGGAAGGCAAAAACACATTGAAATTGATTTTCAGAGTTAAAATTATTTTTAAAAATTAGAGCAAGACATTCAAGACAGAGGGAACAGCATGTGCAAAGGGAGCTACAGGCTTTGTGATTATTATGGCTTATTGTTTACTTGGCCAATGGGAAATATTTGTTATATGCAGAAAATAAGGTATTTTTCTCAATTACTAAATACACTAAATAAGCACTACAGATATTTTCATTTTTCTCAAAATTCTAATTTCTGCTCCCCCAAACAAGAATGAGATTTTTGGAAAAACTACCATGGCTTTAAAATGTCTAGAATTTTTATATCTCTAATCAGTTACCATTAAAATCATAATTTAAATGAGGTATAAAACTGAAGACTTTCAAAAGCATTTAAAAGACTCAGATAAAAAAAATATTTAATTTTATATGACAGGGTCCTTTTTTTGCAGAAGACTGATGAAATACCTATTTCCCACTGAAGTTCAAAACTCAAAAATGCAGATTTTAACCCATTTTATCAAACTATTTAAGGCAACTGTTAGGGGGCCAGGCTAGAATTTCAAGGCTATGTAAACCTGAACATCTGTTCATCCCCAAAGAATGGCTGCAGTTTACTGGATAAATTTTCACATTTATGGCAACACATTTATTTTTCCACAGAAACTAATATGAACTTTAATTTGAATTGCAAAGATACATCTAACCACCAAAACAACTTCTCTGGAAGCACATTTTTAGAAATGCTATGAGTCCCAGCTGTCTGGTCTTGCCGCCCCCACGATACCGTCCACCCCTTAGCCTCACTGAACAGTTCATGTCACTGGGCTTTTAAAAGTTCGTGCCAGTCCCACTGAATGGGGGAACCCTGTCTCAACTCGCAACTCCTATCTCTTAGTTCAAAAGCTACCTCCCCATCAGGTATTTCCATCTACTCCCAAAAGAAGTAAGTCACTCCCTTCTCTCTAGTCCTACTGCCTTTTTTTTCATGTTTATTTGTATGACTAAAGATAATTTTTAAAGTTATGGAAATTCTCTGTACTTTCTCAATTTTGCTGAACTAAAAGTGCTCTAAAAAATAAAGTTTATTGCCCAGCCAGTGTGGCTCAGTGGTTGAGCACTGACCTATGATCCAGGAGATCATGGTTTGATTCCTGGTCAGGTCACATGCCTGGGTTGTGGACTTGACCCCCAGTAGGGGGCATGCAGGAGGCAGCCGATCAATGACTCTCTCATCATTGATGCTTCTCTCTCTCCCCCTTCCTCTCTCTGAAATCAATAAAGACATTTATAAATAAATAAATAAATAAAATAAAGTTCATCTTTCTCTGACTGGCTTATTCCACTTAGCATAATACCCTTTAGGTCCATCCATGCTATGGCAAAAGGTAAGATTTCCTTCTTTTTTATGGCCGAGTAGTATTCCATTGTGTAAATGTATCACAGCTTTTTTATATATATATATCTTTATTGATTTCAGAGAGAGTAAGAGAGAGAGAGAAACATCAACGATGAGTCATTGACAGCTGCCTCCCGCACGCCCCCTGTTGGGGATGGAGCCCGAAACCCAGGCATGTGCCCTAACCAAGAATCAAACCGTGACCTTCTGGATCCTAGGCTGATGCTTAACTGCTGAGCCACGCCCGGCAGGGCTCACAGCTTTTTTATCCACTCACCTACTGATGGACACTAGGGCTGATTCCAGATCTTAGCTATTGTAAGTAGTGCTGCAATGAACATACGGCTGCATATATTCTTTCGAATCAGTGTTTTGGGTGTCTTCAGATATATTCTCAGAAGTGAAATTGCTGGCTCATGAGGCAAGAACAGGTGTGTGTGGGGAGGGGGATTGGGGGGCTGGGTAAAAGAGGTGAAGGGATTAAGAAAAAACACCTCATAGACACAGACAACAGTATGGTGATGACCAGAGGGAAAGGAGGTAGGAGCAGGTAGGAGAGGGCAAAAGGAGGGTACGTGGTGACAGAAGGAGACCAGACGTGGGGTGGTGAACACACAATACACTCTGCAGATGAAGTGTTATAAAACTGTACACTTGAAACCTATGTAATTTTATTAATCAATGTAATGCCAATAAATTCAATAAAATATATTTTAAAATAAATAAAATAGAAAAAAAAGTTTATTAATTTAAAAAAAAAGTGGTACCTGGGGTTTTTTCTTATATCATCCAATTGGCCAACCACATGAGAAACATTGGTACGAATCATTTTAAAAGCAATTTCTTCTTCTCCCATGATTTCAAACCTAATTACCAAATATATTTAAAGAGTGTAAATATTTATACAGATAGGACAGATCTTCAATAAGAAAAACATTTTATAAAGCTTTAACAGACTCAGCATCCTCAGAATGAGTTCATCTTTGATTATTACTAAAAAAACCAATCTCACATAAATTTTAAAAAGATGCTTAATAAACTACTGTAAAACTATGAAAATACCAGACTCTTACAATTATTCTTAAACTAAACAAAGAGAAAATTGTACATCTACTTACCTATATTTGTTTTTGTCCTTATACGCTTTGTGAATTTTATCAGTTACTGGTTTACAGTTGGTTACTAGACTTTTAGTGACGGGTGGCTGTGAGAAAAGACAGACATTACAACAGGGGACAAGACTTAGAGTGAAGCAAGGGAAGCGTTCAGCTCGGGTGCAAAATTTAAGAGGGCACTCAAAGACTAAGTAATCAGGATATTTTAAAATTCTCATCTGAGGACGTTTTTTCCATTGCTTTTCAGAGAGAGTGGGGGGGGGAGAGAGAGAAACATCGATGTGGAAAGACGCATCGATTGGTTGCCTCCTGCAGGCGACCCAACCCGGGGCCGGGGATCGAGCCTACAACCAAGATATGTGCCCTTGGCCGGAACTGAACCTAGGAGCCTTCAGTTCACAGGCCGACACTCTAGCCACTGAGCTAAACTGGCTAGGGCTAAAGTCAAATTGGCACACTATGGCCTGCTGGCTAACTGCCCATTTTGTAAATAAAGTTTTAAGTGGCACGTATTACGCTAAACTAACCAGCACATGACTGGCAATACCTATAGTTTGTCTATGTATTCTGTTAGCTCCTGTGCTGACCTCTCTGACAGCTGCTGCTTGTCACACTCATGAGCAGGCCTTAATGGGGCTCTCTGAGAGCTGGAGTGAGGGACACAGTGTCTGGCGTGCACAATGATTGCTAAATGAATGATTTCCTTCTGTCAGGAACCAGATTTTTAACTAATTTATTACTCTTCTCTATATTCATTTATGAATGTCTTACCTGCTATTAAGTATAAATTATTTATGCCCGGCAGGTGTGGCTCAGTTCACTGAGTGTTGTCCCACGCACCTAGAGGTCATGGGTTCGATTCCCGGTCAGGGCATGTGCCTGGGTTGCAAGCTCAATCCCTGGTAGGGGGCATGTAGGAGGCAGCTAATTGATGTTTTTGTTATCAATGTTTCTATCTCTCTTTCCCTCTCCTTTCCTCTCTCTCTTAAAAATCAATAAAAACATTAAAAAATTCTTTTTAATTATTTATATATGGCTTGAACATCTGCAAGATGGTAAATTTTTAAATAACATTTTATTCTAATTATGAAACTGAAAGCTGCTCATTATACAAAATATGGAAAATATCAGTATGAAAAAAGAAATTTAAAACCACCTATGATTTAACCCACTGTCATTTCCACTACTTTTTGCAGTGTGTTTTATAAAGTGTGTGTGAAGGTATTTGGGAGTTTTCCACACTTTAAATCATACTGTATATATGGTACTATTTCCCCACCTAATTTTATTTTGTAAATATTTTTCCATAGAGCAGTAAATATTACTGTACCCATCACATTAATGGCTATATTATACCTTGTTCCATCAATTCTAAATGCACATTTTCCCCCACTTCTCTGAAACAAAGATGCATCTTATAATCAACATTTTTCTAATCATTTCAACCAAGTGGCACTCTGATATCATTGTGTGCAAATCATCCACAGCCCTACTAGTAAGCTCAAGAAAGTGCCAGCATGGAAGGAACTTCGCTTTGATGAAAGGCAGTATTCTACTTGATGAATACTTCCGTGGTTAATGTTTAACTTCCGGACTGTCTCCCACGCCAATACTTTGGAGCTATCTTCTGCCATCCTTGTGAAAAGGAGTCTGCTTATAGAATATAAACAACTAATTCCAATACTAGCTTAAAATCCATTAGGGAGGAGAAAAGATATTCCAAAGCAAGGAATAAAACATTCTGGATAACCTGTGCTACTACTTCCCAACAAAGTCATATAGAACCTGCTTATAGTTTTTGAAATGCCATACAGAAATGATGTAAATAACACCCAACAAAGATATACTTTCTGTTTTACATCAAAGAACCCATGTCACTTACCAGATTGGGGTCATAGTATGCTTCCTGGGTTGTTGGAATGTTGCTCAGCCGAGTGATATTAGCAGGCAGCATTTTTGAGCAATTTATTAACATGTGCTCCAGACCTGTTAAATCCTAACAAAACAAAATAAAAGGATAAACCTTCTATGCACAAGTAATTATTGTAGTTTAAAAATAAAAACTATAAATAAATAAATAAATACTACATAAAAGTCTCCAAAATTTTTAAAAATTCTATCTTCAAAGAGAGTTTGACTATGATTCTTAAGATAAAGAGAGCAGAATGAGACAATATGAACACAAATATTTCATCTTTGTTTCAAAGGGGAACATCCTGAACTGTGAGGCACCATTTTACATAGAATGGGCCAAGGCATGAACAGACGGGCTGTCCTGTAGTTAGTTAGGCTCCTCCTGGCACTCTCTATTAGAGTTTATACTCCTGGGACTAGAAGAGGCCATGGCAGAGGGGACTAGCTGAGATATTAGTCAGTCACACTGGAAGGCCCTGAATGAACCTGTCACAAGAATCTTATGTGCAGATATGGTCTGGCTCTTTTCCACACAAAACAATAGCAATCCCCACTGCAAGCCTTAAAAAGGAATCTCAGAAAATATGAACTTCAAGCTTGGTTTTAATTCTGGCACTAAACATGGACTACTTGTGAACACCCTTGTAAACTATTAAAAATTACTTTTACTTGCATTACACTGAAATATGTAGGGCGGGGGAGAGAAAGTATAGAAAGTATCGAAATTAAAAGTTTCGCTTTAAAATGACACAAAGTTTAAGGAAAAAAATATAACACCTGCAAACTTAGAGGCAGGTCATGAATTCTGGTAGCCAGTGTTCGGATTTCTCTGTCAGATAAGACACCAGATTGGTCGGTATCAACTTCATCAAAAACTTGAGATATATTCAGTGGCTGAACTGCACTCATGAGATAGTAAAAATAAGAAAAGGCAAACTGCATATCCTCCGAGTGGCGCACTTTGTGAAATGATGTCTTGTCAAATTCTTCAGGGAACCTGTACAAATATAACATGTAATAAGCGTGGGATATTTAACATACCTACATTCCCTAACGTTTGGAGTTAGTATCTTTTTCCTTCCCACTTATTTAGATGACACCTTCAACCTATTAGTCATCAAATATTAGAGCCATAAATTTAGCACAGCAAAGATGTAAATTTCTTTTTTTCCCTTTTTTCATTTTTGCTATTATTTATTTTTATTGAATTTATGGGGGTGATATTGGCTAATAAAATTATACAGGTTTCAGGTGCACAATTCTATGACCCACCACCTGTATACTGTACTGTGTGCTCCCCATCCCGTGTCAGGTCTCCTTCCATCACCATTCACCCCCCCGTCCTCTCCTAGTACCCCCACCTCCCTTTCCCTCTGGCAATCACCATACCATTGTCTCTGTCTACAAGTTTTTTTGTTTTGTTTTTTTTTTTCTTAATCCCTTCACCTTTTTCACCCAGCCCAGTAACACAGCCCCCCTTTGATAGCTGTCAATCTGTTCTCTGTATCTATGAGCCTGTTTCTATTGTTTATTAGCTTATTTTATTCATTAGATTCCACATATGAGTGAAATCCTATGGTACTTGTCTTTCTCTGACTGCTTATTTCACTTAGCATAATGCTCTCTGGGGTCCATCTATGCTGCCGCAATGGGTAAAGATGTAAATTTCCAGCAGCCTGGGCTCTGAGCACATGCAAGCAGCCCAAACACAGCCAGACTTACATATCTTGCAATTCCTGCATAACTATTCGGTCAATCATGTGAGGCATGTGTGCAGGGACTTTCCTAGACGTGAATCCAAACTTGCTGTTTAGAATTTTATTTACGTATCGGAGGGAATCTGCGAATGTATCTTTTAGTTGTCTCCCAGTGTGTTTGCTATCAGTAAAGTAGGCCAATTGCGTCTTCAGAGACTCTTCTTCCTGAAAAGAGGATTCCGAGTAAGACAGCATTATATTTAGTGCACAAGCTTACTTGGTTAACAGGAGATAAAGGCGTCATCTTATAGAATGTGATAACTAGTCACTAACAGTTCATGAGGACCAACGAAACGAAGACCCTAAGAGCAAGACTAACTGGATTTCAGTGAAAGTATCACCAGCACTGAGAACAACACTGTGTGAAGGTCTATTTATAGGGTAGTCATCAAGGACTGGTCATTGAGCAGATTTCACAGCCAATTCAATGCAACATTTAGAAAACTTATTTATATATAAATTTGATAGTACTTTTGATATCTATTTCAATGGGTGATTTCAAAGCAGCAAGTACTTGAGTTCTGAACACAAGGATAAGAATACAAAGGTGGTTTCACCACACAATCGTGTTGATATTATAAAGTGTAAAGAAACCTATCAGAGCCAGTGAGAGGCAACACTGAATGAGCAAAGAACATGAACACACTTTACGGAAGATAAAATATTTTTGTTTCTCAAACAGATAAAAATGTAGAGATTGATAACTGGTGTTGGTTAGCCTGTGGAGAAACAAGCAGTCTTGCATTCTGTCTGTGGAAGTAAGAAGTGGCACAACATATCAGAGGAACATACTGAAATTTGTATGTACCAGACCCTTTAAGACCGCAGTTCTACCTAGAGAAATAGTAACTTCCTCAAGAGTACAAGAATATTTATTGCAACACTACACAGTGTAATTCCACTGTTGCAAAACAGAAACTACACAGTTTATATGTTTGCATCACCTACAGAAAAATAATGGAAGGACACTCACCAAACTACAAGAGTATCTCAAATAGGGCAATTAGGAAGGAAGGAGGGAGACCTTTCCCTTTTTGACTATCATTTTTTTGCAAGGCTTACAATTTTTACCACCAGCCTATAGTGCTTTTGCAATTAAAAAAAAAGGGGGGTGGGGGTGGGGAGAGTGAGCAAATAAACCTCGATAAGAACTCTGCAGTCCCTCACTCAACAATCGGTTAATGCCTACTGCGCCAGGTAGGAGACCTCCTGGACACAACGACAGGAGTAAGACACAGTTCCCCTCTTCCTCTTTTCTTCCTGCCTGACATCCTCTCGCAGCTATGCTCTGTTCACAGCCCAGCCTAGACCACAGGATTTTTCTTATTCGATCAACTCTGACCCACCCTTCGCAGGTAAGCTCACAGGTACTTCCTCAAGGACGCCTTCCCTATACTGCTAGGCAAAGTTAAGGAACTGTCCCTTTGGACTCCTTACCCACACCTCAAGAGACACTTGTCATATGACTGCAACTACTTGCCCACACACCTGTCTCCCAACTTGCTCTCTGAGTCTCTACTAGCAGCACCTGTGTTCTGATCATGTTGCGTTCCCTAGCAGTCAGCAGAGCAACGGCACTTGGGGGACATGCAAATGCCGCCCAGCTCGTGAGGCCGCCGTGGTATGGGATGGAGAGCACTCCAGCTCGGAGGCCTGGCTCACGCTGACTTGCTGCTGCAACTGATGCTGGGGAAGCTAATGAACTTCTCCGCACCTTGGCTTTGTTCATCAGTAAAGCTGGGAAAATAGCAGACCTGACTCGTGCAATGTATGCAAAAGCATTTCTTGAAATCACAACACGGCAAATAAAGAGAAGACACAATCCTAGTTGTACACTTACTCGGGATATGCCCCTGGCTGAATCCCTTGCTCATTCACACTGAGCTATCACGTGGGGATAACAATAGTAGAAATCCTTACGAGCTCTTTTTATTGATAGGGTTATTGAGATAATTAAAGTGAAACCACGTAAGAAAAGCATTTAATCCAGTGGCTGGCACAGGGACATGCTGAATAAATGACAGCTATTATGAAATCATTACCCCTGGCAAGGCTGTCTGTTGCTCCTGAGCATGGGAAGGAATAAGGCTGAGTGTAACTTACATCAAGAAGATCTTGGAAATACTTTTTTTTCTCCCACGGCAAAAAGCCCAGGTAACCGTCTGTGTGATATTGCAGTTTTCTTCCAGGTAATACTTCATTAACATCTATGTGACTTTCAGCATTGTCCTCCACTTTGTTTCGGTCTTGCTCTTTCCCTATGATTTCCTTTTCTCTTGGCACCTGGTTTTTTGGTGGAACAAGCAGAGATGAGAGCTTTTCTTTGGACACACTTCCACCTCCTACTTTTTGGGTCTGAGTTGCAGATCGAAAGCTTGGTTTGGTTTCCAAGTCGGGAAGTGGAGTCTGATGCTGGTAGAGGCCATTCGCTTGTATGGTCTCTGCTGGAAAAGTCCACCTATATAATCTCTCCAACGCTCCTAAGCTGTTTGTCAAGGCGCTTTTGCTAACCTGTTTTGCCAGTGGGGCCTCCACGCTTTCATTTTTTTCATCTGCTACGACAGCCTGGTTTATTTTTACTTCAGCGTCCTGTGAGTTCATCAGAAACGATTTCAGCAGGGCTGACTTGGACAGGTTGTATCCTTTCACTGTGATGTCTCCACGCTCTAGCTGCAAATCCAAGTTACTGAGACGCAACTGGGCCTCTTTGGGAAGGAGTGAAATATTCACCAGGGGAATTCTCACCTCCTCCTGCGCTCTCCCTGTTGTGTTATCATCACGTCTCTTGAACTTTGGGAAGCGCTTTTCTTCGGGAATATCCTCAAATGGGATCTCCACCTCTGGAAGGGGCGTTATGGGGCTAACCAAAGTTTGGTAAGACCTCTGGGTGGTAGAGTTCAGTTTCGGTTCCTCTCTTGTGTCAACCTCGACAGCTATCTGGATTTTGAACTCCTCATTGTTTCTGTTCTGAAGTGTGAGGTTGAAGTATACTGTGGTTGCGTTCATTCCACTGTGCATTATGAGGTGGATGGTTTTCCACTTATTGGCTATGGAAGCATGTCGAATTATGGGGTTGTCACTATAGGCTCCTTCAACTCCCCTTTTGGCTATTTCTGCAAAGCTGAAATAAGGCAGGCATTCACCTTTTGGAATAACATAGTGAGTCTGGTTTGGGAGAAGAGTTACTTTATATAATTCATGAAAATGATCTAGAGGAAAAAACACAAACATGACTTTTTAAAAACCAGCCATTTTTCCCACCTTTCCTTTCATTCTTAGGGGCTGAGCTTTCACTTTCTGACAGTGACTCTAAACGGGCTTCAAAATCATGGGAAATTCTAACACAGGAGCTACTGGTACGGGGCTCGTTTTACTCGGTGAAGCCGCCACAGTCATCAACATGGAGTGACGCTGAGTCTGACTCACTACCGAGAGAGGGCACCATTCTGATGGCAAATTCCAATGATCGACTTCCACCTTTCTGTCCATGTGAACAAATACAACTGTCTGCCAAAACCACCTCTGTTAATGAGCTACCTACAAGATCCAGTATCAGAACTGTCCTTATATAATAAATTATTGCTCTTATTTCCAAATTAAGCCATCACCACATAAAGTCAACTAAGCTAAATCAGCTTAAAAAAAAAGAAAGAAATGAGACTGGAATGACAAAAGAAGAGACGCAGCTTTAGTATTCACTGTTCTCTAAAGATCTGTGTCCTCTTATTTTTAACTTACTAGGATGGACACAGGGCTGGGAAAGGGATACGCAGAGAATAATTACTTTAAATCACAACAATGAGCCCAAATGCTCTCTACCCGCCAAGGACTTTTACCCCCTTATTCTCAATAGATGGTAATGACAATAAATGTACCTTGCCCACAGTCGCCAGCATCAAACCCGCAGGACAAGACATTGCAGGCCTGGTCACAGAACTTGTCGGCGAGCCAGGAGTTGGCACACCCCTGATTACAGTAAGAGACACTGTTGATTCCTCCTCCAAACTGCCAGGGCTGCACAGCTCCCAAACCCCCGGTGCCCCCGCCTGCTGCGCCGTAGCGACTCCCTGCACTGTTTCCTGTAGAGAGAGGAGGAAAACAGAACCTTGAAAAAAAGACAGCTCCTTATTTCTTCACAGGGTTTTCAAGACTGACACATGAGTCTCAGTTCACCCTGTTCCCTAGCAGAATAGTTCATGCAGCTAAGAAGAAAATAAACAGAAGAGGGGGCATCACCCGACAGTGGGCTGGGCACGTACTAACTGTGGCCCCTGGAAGCATGGACCTGGCACCGTCTCAAGGGGGCATGTGTAGGCGTGGATGGAGGGGCATGGGACAGGGAGAGATTATTCCAAACAGTGATGGTCAGAACTACCCAAATATGTCCTAAAGGAGGTGCTACCCTCACTGTCAAGTGTGAATGTCCTATCAGGGGCTGAGCTACTGGACTCCACAGACCCACTCTGCACATCTGCGTTCTCACTGGATTTTTCAAAAGTGCCTCTGAAAGATCTGAGTGAAACACAGCTTGAAGTCTTGTTTCCTCCAATACTGGACACTTTTCCAAGTCTGCTTCCTCACATGGACCTCGGGATGCTATCTGTGCAAACACGCTCTCCCTCTCAGGCAGCTAGGGAATTAAGGTGGGTAATGAATGTTTCCCACATTTAAATTCTTTATAAACTGAAAGGCAATAAATAAAAGTAAAAAAAATGTTACCGACTAGGCCAAATATAAGCATGTAGGAAAGGAAGAAGAGATGCCGAGGAGAAAAGACACGTATTTCTTTTGCATATTTGTCACTTGCCAACCTACAGACATCTGCTGCTGGAACCCACCAGCTGGGAGCTCCTATGAGAGCCAGTCAGAGTTGTGCTTGCTCTTGAGCTTACATAATGAAGGGTAGTCCTGTTTTTCACATTTTCCATAATAAGAAAAGGCATTTTCAAGTGCACGGCGAATGTGGGAAAATGCCCTCAACACTGGATAATATATGAATCCAGTGGGTCACAGGAGGACATTCGTCATCACCTCCAGAGAGTCTATGGATTACTGATTATTTTAATACATGAAAATGTTTAATTCACTGTGTGTTCAGTAATGATTAGGAATGAAAATCGGATTCCATATACAGCAGAAAATTACACTTGAGCACATCCCTACCCGAGCAATCGCCACCATCCCAATCGCAGGCTGAGTTATTGCAAGCCTTGTCACAATAGCCATCCTTAATCCAGGAACCCGGGCAGCCCTCGGCACAGTTCGGCACAGGCCATGTCAAATAAACCTACAAAAACAAAACAAAACAGAGAACACCAAATAGTTTCTGTTTCCTCTCAAATTAGAATTCTTAAAAAATAAAAATTAAGCCTCTAGGAAAGGTGAATATTTTCCACAGGCTGACTGCATTCATGGGGCATATTTTGCTTTAAGTTTTTCTGCACCTGAAGTCACTTCCCAAGTTCTGCTCTTCTGACGATTCTTACTGAGCAGATTTACTCTGCCCATTACTTGAGGAAAGAGACAAGGACTCGTTGTGGCCTAGTTTCTCACACTGTGATCTTATAATACATTTTGAAATAAAACAGCAACATGTCAGACTTAACTGCGAGTACAAATGCATGTCAAAGTAGGTGGAAGGTATTCCACAAGAGTCACTGCTCTTCTGTGACTATTACTAACTCCTGAGTGTATCTGTGCCTAACCTTGTATCATGGCTGAGAAAAAGAGCAGATGAACTCTAAATGTCCTTCTCTGCCAACCTAATTTCTGTGACAAACTAACCAGCTCAGCAATCTGAGCTCCAAGCTCACCCGATTTCACAATGAGTGACACAGTACGTGGTGATTTCTTCAGCTAAAATCATTAAAAAGATAGGCTCCGCTTTTAAAGTCTGCCTGCCACTGCACATCCCATCTGTGTGGATTCTAATGAACTTCTACCTGTTCTTCAATGTTCATCTCAATTCAAATGGGGGTTGTTCCCTGTTCCTGTCCATTTCACCCTCCTGTGCGCCCACTGCTCAGCACCAGGGCACACCTGCCAGCATGGAAATCACTGTATAGTCACTGATTTTGTGTGTCTTCCCTGTCAAGCCACAGCTCAACTTTGCAGCTCTACAAGCTAACACAGGGGAGACCACTGAACAGGGGCACAGGACAGTAAGCACACAGGGGTGGGCACAGGACAGTGAGCACACTGGGGTGGCATAAACCGCAACAGAAAAAGGAGCCGGGTGCATTTAGCACTTACAGTTGCGGAGTTTTATCACAACCTGTGTTGGTAAGTCTCCAGTTTATCAAGGAATCCTTCTAACAACACTACTGGGTATTCCTATTTTCCCCACTAGGTGTCAGACTGGAAACACAAAGGTCAGGTCAGTGTCCAGGACCGTCCTAAATAACAGGTTGGCTCCTGGGTCTGTGCTCATAACCACTTCTCCATCCTGCCTCTCAAAGCCAGAGTGAGACCATCTTCGATGAAACTTTATCCACCTCTAAGCAGAAAACTGAAGTGCCTTTCTATGTTGGTCGCTTTGCTGACACTGTAACTGCTTTTGTTTCATAGTGATTTTGCTTTTCTGGCTGTGGTTGTAGTAGAACATTTAGAGGGTCAGGAAAAAAGAGTGGGTCCTGGGTGTCCAAGAATGTAGGCAAGCGAAAAATGACTGGGTAGTTTTCTTTCTCCCAAACAGTTAACTCCTCTGAGCTCAGCACTCAAAATGCTTATTTGATCAAATCTGAGCAGAGCAGTATATACAATGATTCCTGACTTCCCACTGATGACTTCCAAGTGACTCCCAAGGTATCCCTTCCTCTTAGGGACTCACCTTCTGACCTTTGGAGTGACTATAAAAGTCATCTGGCCAGACATCCTTCCCAAACATGACATCATCATTCAGGTAAATAAACTTCTGGGACAGCCCCTCGATGCGATGGATGTGACTTTCAATCGCTGGTGAACTAAAGGTAGGCAAGTGGCTCAAATTTCGAAAAACATCCTTTTAAAAGAAAAACAAACAAAAAACAAGAGAGAAAGAAGGTGGATGAGTGTTTTTTGTTTCCGTTTTGGTTTTGGAAGGAAGGCAGGCAACTGGAAGAATTAAAGGAAGGTAGAAATGGATGTGAGGAGGGTGAAGGGTATGAAGTCAGGGAAAAGGGAAAGAGAGGGGAAGAAAACCCCAGCCTGGTGATACAGGGGAAGCTGGGTACCTGATGAGTTACTATGGTCACCCGAGGATTATCAAGGTTCAGCCAAGACGGAATCTGCCCATTGGTGACGATGAAAATGTTCCGAACCCACGGCGCGTGCCTCTCAATAGATCGCAGCGAGTACCTCAGCTCCTCATTGTCCTCAAAGCGGCTGGCGGAGACGTCTTCATCCTGCTTAGCCTGGGGGACGTCGGTGCGTGAAGGCGGGGCGGGACCTGCCCTGAGGTCCCCTCCCCTCCTCTCTGCCTGCCCTCTGCTCAGGGTGCTCTGCAGACCAGTGAGACCCAGTCTTACTTCAAACATTATGAAAACTGCAGAAAGACTCAGCGGAGTTACACCACCACAGATACACAGCATTTCTTTAACGCACTTTTCAGAAAAGTTTCTTGCACCCGATTCTAGGTCACTTCAGTTACTATTAACCAATGGCAGTGACTGCGGACTAGATAAGTTCAGATCAACTCAAGTCCTCTTCCTTCTTCTAACACGGCAAGTTAAAGTTCTCTAACCGCCTAAAGGGATTCGGGTTTTGGAAGAATCTCTGCATCCCTTACCTGGCTGATGGCACTCAGATCCCACAGTAAATACGCAGGACTTATGGTCAGTTCTTTCCCCTCAATGGTCATGTTCTTCTTAGTCTGTTTATTCAATTCTTGGAAATCTCTGGGGTTGTTCAGTTTTAGGAGAGCTACACTGGCCTCTGAGTACAGGTGCAACTGTAAGATAACAACAGGGTTACTTAACAGTGGAAAAGTGGAGCCCTAAATGAGGAACGCCCTGAAATTCCCTGTTTGATCTTTAAACTCTAAGTATATATATAAAACATAGACTATCTACTATATATAGTATACATATAAATACATATTATATATATTAAAAGATTAAAAGTTTCATATGTGTGTATATATTACACATATATAATATATATATTTCACATATATTTCATATATATTTCATAAACATATATAATATATATATATTTCATATATATATATGAAATAGCAAGCCAATATGACCAAAAAAGAAAACCTAAACAGGCCAGACACTTTTCCCAAATGAATGGGACGGACCAGAAATTAAGAACAAGACGGAGTGGCAGGGGCCGTGGTGACGGGGCCATCTCAGGCCCCGTTTGAAAGCTGCAGTCACTACCTAATGCCACCCAGCACTTCCAGATCTCCCAAGAGGCCATGAAATCTCCCAATTTCCTCTTTTAAAATTATTTAAAATTTTCAAATTACAGTTGACACTCAATAGAAATCTCCCAGTTTTCAATGCTGGCTCAAATGCTTCTGATTGTCATACATTCCAACACAACACATTCGGTCACCAGTTTGTGACCCTTGTTCTAGAATATGACCAATCTGCTTACTCTGGGGAAAAGCCCTGCAATGTAACCTCACTGGAATTGGTGGGTAGCACAGCTGCTAGCAGGGCATCCACGTGGCTTTTGTGCCCCACACCTAAGACGAGTGTCTTTGGCAGAGCTGACATACTTTCAAAAGCACGTTTGGAGGCAAAGCGTTTGAAATAATCATCAAATCTAAGAGGGAACGTCATAAGAGCAACACGTTTTCTAAGCAGGCTTCCCCACCTCCACCTCCACACTACCCTTGATCTGTTTATGTTCTAAGCCTTTATCACACAATTTCCTATGAAAAGGGTCTTTCACAACTTAAGAAGGTGGGGAGAGGACTAAAAACCGCTAATTGAGGACAGCAAAATCCTTCTGCTGAACTGTCTTCTAATAGAGCCCAAGGACTTCTTTTCTAATTTAGAAAACAGAAGCAAACACAAATTATGATGGGTTCAGACTAAGCTCTTGTATTTGTGACATGACTATACTTAGCTCACCTTTCAAAGGTTCCTGAGTTTATGTAGGCCCAAAAACTAGAGGTTAGAGATAGAATTTTATTTGTATCTTTTCCTCTTTTTATTACGTAGGCCATTAACTCTTACTGGAAACTGTGTGTGTGTGTGTGTGTGTGTGTGTGTGTGTGTGTGTGTGTGTGTGTATGTGCTTGCATGTGTATTGTCTTCCTAACTAATTACTTTCTTCACCTTGGCAGTGCCTAGCATACACTAAGTACTCACTGAAGGTCAGCTCTCACTGCTGCCACCATCCTGCCTCAGTGTGGGGGGCAGATGGGATGCAGGCCAGGTAGAGAGAACATTCTTCTATCTGGGTCTCACTACCCACCCGAGGCATCTGCTGCTCCTTCTCTACCTCCCACCATGGCTCCCACAGCACCTCTGGGGCTCCCTAGAGTGTAAAAATCACTACCCTACAATAAATAGATATAGCACTTTTGTATGCTAATTTAAAATTTATTGGAAACATATCCTTATCTTAATCTCTTCTTCCAAACTGCTTTCGTCCTGGAAAATTACTTTGAAATTTCACTGACATTTTCCTAAGGTAACTACACAATAATTGGAAGAGAGATGAAAAGTGAAGAGCATAAGGGAATATTTATTTGTGCGTTAAAAAGATTTCCTGCCACTGTAACCAACCAAGTTTTGAATAGTGAGAAAGAGTGGGAAGAAAGTATCGTGTGTTAGCCACCAGGTGGCTCTCCAATCTTGGACACCTTAATGACTTTTCTGGAAAAGAGACAGCAGGTGGTAAGGAAAGGTGGTTGTAATGAGTGCCAAAGGCTGGAGTTCTCAGCTTGTGCAACTGTGGGCAACTGCCTCCATTTATAGCTTCTTCCTTGAAATTATAAGTTTACTGAAATTCTTTAATTCATCTGTTTCTCAAAGAAAGAACAACTAGACACCTACCTGCCAACCCACAAAGGACGTGTTAGCATGACTGAGAAATAAAACTCTGCTAGCTTTAAGCCACTGACACTTCTGGATGTTTGTTATTGTGGCATTATCGAGAATGATGTGATTCATACACTAATATGATAGGACATGGTTAGGGGACAAACAAGCCAGCTAATACACCTGAAAAACAAGTTAGCTCCTCCTAGAGATTTGACAACTCAAACCTACTGGGTCTTAATATGTCTTGGCGGTTTTCTAAAACTTAAGTCAATTCTAAAGTTGCTTGTTTAATCTACTTACGTATGTATTTTAGAAATAAAACCAAAAGAAAGGGTGCCATGCTCTAAGGTGCCATGTAAGAGAGCAGGTAGATAAGAGAGTTGCAGGGAAATCACTAAAAGAAGGGGCATTGATATGATATTGCTACAATTTATTTTGAGTCCAGCCAGGCATAGCTCAGCAGTTGAGCATCGACCTAGGATCCAGGAGATCGTGGTTCGATTTCAGGTCAGGGCACATGCCCAGGTTGTGGGCTCGATTCCCAGTCGGGGGCATGAAGGAGGCAGCTGATCAATGACTCCTCTCTCATCGTTGATGCTTCTATCTCTCTCTCTCTCCCTCTCCCTTCCTCTCTCTGAAATCAATAAAGATATATTTTAAAAAAACAAAACAAAACAAAACACAATTTATTTTGACCTTGGACATGCCCTGAACAGAGGTCTGCAAGTGCAAAGTCCAGACAGGATAGTATGCTGTTCCCACACTGCCCACACTGTCCTTCCTGCTGAAACAAATGACTCAGTCAACCCTCAAGGATCCCGTGAAGCCTCTTTCTCTCTGAAAATGTACCCCATGTCTCTGATCCACACAGACCTCTCCTGTCTCTACATTCCAAGTCTCTACTATTCTTCTCTATACCTAACCCTGTCCTGTCTTGTTTTGCTACTTGAACACTTAATTTGCAAACATACTGCCTCAAAAAGAGATTATAACTAGCTTGAAGACAGACCCATGTCCTCCACTTCTTTTGCACACCAACTCAGCAACCACTATCAGGGAATTAAACCAAACGCGAGAATGCACTCAAGAGCTTTGGGAAGATTTTCCAACTGCTCTAACATGTTAAAGAAGTGAACAAAAACAAAAAAAAACACCCACAATAAATGACATGTCTAAAAACACAGAATGATATAGAGCTGAAAATAAAGACAAATAAACAATCTTTCTCAAAAGGTGAATTCCGTGTCCACCACATGCAAAAAACTCTACAGATAAATTAGGGGTAATCAGATCATAAAAGAACTCACTCACCTAAAGGAATCTCGAAGATTGTTTGATTTATAAGACTATAGTCCACAGCAAAGTTTTTATGAATTCAAATCTGTTATCTGGCAAAAGAAACCACTTTCTTCAAGCCCCACCTCCCCTCCTGGGGGTGTGGGGGTGAAGATTCTGGTTTTGCTCTAAACAGAATAATAAAGCCCAAGTGATGCTGCATGAACACGACCACGGTGCGATAAACCTAGTGATTCCTGTGAACAGTGATACTGCTGACCATTTCCCTTTATCGTCCAAGATACCGTATGTGCTGGGTGGTTCAGTCACAGCCTTTCTTCCTGCGCCTCTTCAACAAGCATTTCCTGAGTGGCCCCCTACGTGCCAGGCCCCAAAATAACCACTAGGGGTACAAAGGTGAATAGGCAGCACCTGTCCTGAGGCGCTCACAGCCCAGGAAGGGGTCTCTGGGGCAGAACAGAACAGAGCTCTAGATGGCAAAGGCCTCCTGGAGGAGCTGGGAGGGCAAAATGGTTCCGCTGCTCAGGCCCTAAGTCCGATGTCTAACGGCCCTTTTCTCACACATGCCACAGAGCACCTCCAAGGAAATGCACCCCAGGCTGAGCTCTGTTTCCTTCCTTAAAAAGCTGGCTTCTCCCACTAAAGCTCCCAATGTGGTTAATGCCATCACTCCTGTTTGCTCTAAAAACATCTACTTCCCCTTTTGTTTTTCCTTCCCTCTCCCCCAGCTAATAAGTCACCAGGTCATTTTTGGGGCTCTCTCAGATGTTTCTGGAACCATTCTCAGAACTGCACCACCGACAAGGCACTTGCTGAACCCAAATGTCTTGCTGGGTTTGGGCAGCAGTGGCTGAACTGGTTTTCCTGCCTCCAAACTAGTCAAGTCTAATCTCTATCTGTTACCCGTTCCCCTGCTGTGTTTCTTAGAAAGGGGTCCTCCTCCTAAAGATGCTCCCTGCCTCCAAAGTTAAGTCCAGGCCTCCTACCAGGAGATCTGCCTCAGTATGACCTCCATCTATCTTCCCAGTCCGAACACCAGCAAAAGCCCAGCCTGGGCTCTGGCCCCAGGAACAACTGTCCCAATTCTCTGCAAACACCATGGATTTGCAAGCCTCCAGCCTTTTGCTCAGGCTGTTCCCTGGTATTGGAATGGTCTTTCCTATTCCCTTCTCTGCTGAGAGAATGGCTGCTCCATTCAGGGCCCAGGTAAAATGCTTCCTATTCTGCAAAGCCTCCCTTGCCCACAGTGCACCTAAAGCCCAGGTGTTCTCAGCACTTTCTATAAACACATTTGGAAGTGATCAAACCTAAAAGTTATTTAAGTGCCTTTATTCACTCAGTTATCCTTAGCACAGTCCCGGGCACCCAGCAGGCATTTGATAAACACTCCCTAAATGGACTAGGAACCCAATGATAGAAAACTTCATTCTGAGGGTACTCATAATAAAACCAGGAAGCAGAACCCAAAGAAAGAGAGTCACTTGAAACACTGGGCTACAGTGCTGACACAGACCTTCTGTTCTTACTCTTTCTCATTTTCTCTCTAGGCCCCCAAAAGTCCGAATCCCTGAAGTTGATCACAGGTGTTGTCATGAACACGACCTGCACAGAATGCTATGGATAATTAACTTGACCCTCCAGAGGGGTGCTGGCTCCACACAGACAAGTCTGGGAATCCCAATAAATCTCCAAATGGGCGAATGAACAGCGGAGGGTGGTATCATGCACGGGGGCTCCTGGTGCTTCCTGTCCGATCAAGCTGCCGCCCGGCCCTACCTCCACCTGCATCCGCTACTCCACACCACCCAAAAGGAGTCTGCTGAAGGGTCGGCCGCTGCTTGGACTGACATCCTTCAGCCACACACACCCATCCACCGGCAGACCCACTGGTGAGGCAGCAGGCAAAGAGGCGTGGGCTAGTCAACCCTGAGCGGAAAACAGAGAAGTGTCACTGTTTCCTTTAGGAATTTATTATAGTTGAAATGATATAAATAGAATCAAGAATGCCATTCCTTCTGCATAAGGAATTTGAGCTGATAATCAAAAGTACAGATATGCCCGTGTCTGTAATTCTAGAACCAATAGCTAGGAAGCCAAGAAGCCAAATAAACATGGCCGAAATCAATGTTAATCTATGGTGTGTGTTTTTGTTGTTCTTGTTTTAAATATATCTTTACTGACTTCAGAGAGAGTTGAAACATCAATGATGAGAAAGTCGTCATTGATCAGCTGCCTCCTACACGCCTCCCGCTGGAGAATTGAGCCCAAAGCCAGGCATGTGCCCTGACTGGGAATCCGACCGGGAATCGAACCACAATCTCTTGGATCCTAAGTTGATGCTCAACCACTGAGCCATGCCCAGCCGGGCTAATCTATGGTTTTTATCTACCCAAATAAGTACCAAAAACAACTCAGGGGAAGGAGGAACATAATATCTATTTTAAAATAAGTGCAGATTAAAAAATAATTCAACCCTAATCTAGCTAGGCACTACCATATGTCCAGGTACCATAAAAAAAGTTATGGAGGAAAATATGAAAGAAACCCCCACATAAATATTATTCATATCAAAATCATTTATGAAGATAGTACGATGTATCTTAAAACAGTTAAACAATACTTATTGGGGAAAAGAAACAAGTTGGGGGTAAGAATATAAAAAATATGGTCAAGCCCGGCCGGGTGTGGCTCAGTGGTTAAGCGTCAGCCCAGGAGCCACGCAGTCACGGTTCAACACAGTTCAGTTCCTGGTGACGGGACATTTCTGGGTTGCGGGCTCAGTCCCCAGCAGGGAGCGTAGAGGCAGCCGCACGATGATGTTTCTCTCTCATCGATGTTTCTAGCTCTATCCCTCTCCCTTCTCTCTCTAAAAATCAATAAAAGCATATTAAAAAAAAATTGGTCAAGACAGGTACTACATAAGAACCTAATCACTGCTCTCCCCCACCACCTCCAGCTCCATCCTTCACCTCCAAATTGTTCAATGACATTAACAGGAACAAGAAATAAGAATCAATACGCTAAACAAAGCGGCAGAGCTTAAAGAACATTTCTTGGTAATATCAAGAAAACAAATTCTGAGCCAAGAACTTCATGCCCTCTGTTCTAAGAGAAGAGACACCCACATTTTACACCCTGGAATATTTCTGACAGACAGCAGGCATCTTGACATAAGGTCAAGTGGAAAGTACACCCACGTTGACTATGCCCTAAATCAACGAACAAACGGCTCTAAAAACATAAATGTTAATGAAAAGGCATGTCACAGGACGGCCTCCCGAGTCGATTCTAACAAATGGCATCACTGGTCAAGTGTGAGGAGTTAATAAGTATAAATCTCGAATACATTAATGGCTCATTTAACTACTTAATGAAGGGAGGTGTCACATTATGAAATGTTCCAAATATCTGAAGCACGCTCCCGTTGAGTGAATACAGCACCTGGCACCTAGTAGAAGCTCATTTGTTAAACAAATGATCCTGCTTCTACCTGAGAGATCAGCAAACCAAATAAGACTTACGATTTTCCCCAAATTAAGAGTAAGGACTGAGGGTCTCCTATAAACAAAGGGCTGTCTTCATGATAACATACTGTGGCAGAAGAAAGACCCTCTTTGGTTCTTATGACTGTCAGCTACCCTAGGAACGAAATGGACCAAAAGAGGAGAGTCCTGAGTTAAATGAGATGCTTTTTACTGGGTGCTCTATTGTCTAGGCTCTTACCAGTTTGATTTTAGAAGAGAGATTTTCTGGCAATTTTGCTTTTAGTTGATTTGTTTCCTTGAATGTTGGTGGAAACCCACTCAGGAAGGCCAAATCTTGTAGTAGCACTAGGCCAGGGACTTCTTTATCTGTTGTCTAAAATAAGCGGGGGGAAAAACACAACTCACTTTCCGTATCACAAGGCTGGTGAAATCTTACAGCTGAGAAAACCAGCAAAGATCTATTGTATCATAAAAGCTTCAAAGTAAGAATTAAGATCACTTAAATCACCATTCATTAATACTAGCTAGCTAGCCTAAGAGAAAAGGTAAACATTAAAAAGCCTCTCAAAGTAAAACAGCTTTATTATTCATACTTGTATTCTAGTCTACTGTAAGAACAAAATTAATTTAAAATAACATACCAAATAGCCCCTCCAAACTGTCTGTTTGCTGTTTCCCTTAAACATTTCAGCATGGGCATCTTCAACTACAATAAAGAATACAATAAACAAGCCTATGTTTAATGAATACTTAACTATAATGTCTGGCAGGACACTGTACGAAACATTTGGAGAGCTGTTAAAATAGCATGATACATGGTCTCAAAAAAAGGTAGTTAGGGGGGACAAGACCCATCCCACAAAAGGGGAACAATGTAATGCAGTGCGTAATTATTACTAAATTTTGCAATACTTAAGGAGAGATTCATACGGGCAGCAGAGATGTGGACATGATAATCTGACAGAGATCCCAACTGTAGGAGCAAACAAAAGGGGGCTCCTGAAAGCCAGGCCAGCGGTATTTAGATGAACAGTAGGGACATACTGTAGAATCTCGAGTTTCTCAAGAGTCACAACGGATTCAGGGAGTGCTGAACAGAGCAGATTAAGGGAGGGGGGAATGACACAGCCCTAGTGGGAGAGATCTGTAACGTGATGGGGACAAATGAGATCAGCAAATGTGCTGCCAACACTCGGGATCATGGAAAACAGGAGAGAGGTCAGAGGGTGTAATTCTGATCTTCAAAATGGGCACAGAAAGCCGGTTCAGCAAATTACCACCTGGCAAGATGGATGTCAATCCTGGATAAGTCTCAAATGTGCCACACAAATACAGCTGGTGAGCACTGAAGAAGAAAAAAAAAAGCCTCTGCAATATACTGTTTATCTTTAAAGGAAAAACTGTGGGTATGGATTCATTATGAGTAAGTTTATCAAGGGCATACCTCTCTCTGTCTGTCTCTCACCACTGATATGGTGGGTTCTACATATAGACACTGCATACGTATTTCCACGTAACCTCAGCAAGTTTGCTACCAACATCTCATGCCATTTTTATGGATGTTACGGAAATATACTGGCTAGATCTCACATTGGGTGGGTTGTAACCAATTCTGACTGCAGAGTGTGAAATTATCAAACCACAATCAACCTGGAGACAGGTCTTAGAGGTTTTGCCATAGGTTCTATTTTGCTCAACAATCCATTAAGGTTTGGAAGTACAGAAGATGTGCTTGTGAAATATGTGAATTTCCATAAAGCCGACAGAAAAGCTATCATCCTAGGTAACAGGCTAAGGGTTCCCCCAGTTCTTACTATTTGGAACAATGAGTCCAATCAAGCAAAATAAAATCTCCTGCAAACAAAGGTAAGATCTTTAACCTGGCACCAAAACAACATCCACACAATCATAAATTAAAAGAGGTATTGAAACATTAGCACATAAAAGCTTTTTTAAAAAGACTTGGGCCTGGTCAGGCATGGCTCAGCAATTGAGCATCGACCTAGGATCCAGGAGATCAAGGTTCGATTCCCGGTCAGGGCACATGCCTGGGCTTCGGGGTCGATTCCCAGTAGGGGGTGTGCAGGAGGCAGCCAATCTATGACAACTCTCATCATTGATGTTTCTATCTCTCTCTCTCTCTCCCTCTCCCTCTCCCTCCCTTTCTCTGAAATCACTAAAGATATATTTAAAAAAAAAGACTTGGGAGTTTTAGCTGACAGTGACTTCAGTATGAGTCATCAATGTGCTATGGCCATACAGAATTTCCATCCCCATTTTGTATTGTTGAATAGAAGAGCACTTAGAATAAAAGTTCCAGCCACAGTGGCCTCCCTGCTCTTCTTCAAACAGGGCACACACCTCTGCCTCAGAGCCTTTGCACTGGCAACTCCACTTACCTGATTCACTCCCTGCGCATCTTCAAATTTTCACTCAAAAATCACCTTCTTGGTGAGTCTGCCCTATCACCTAATTTCCCCTGCTCAACTTTTCACAACATGTATACTCTGCAAACAATATAATTTATTTATAGGTTGTATTTATTGTCTATCTCTTTCTACCAAAATGTAGACTCGGTGAGGGCAGATATTTTTGTCCACCTGCTCACTGCTACATCTTCAGCACTGAGAACAACCACTACCTGGCACACAGTATGCACTCAATAAACATCCGTTAAATGAACAGTTTGCAGACTGAGCCACACTGAAATAGAATGTTCAATTCCAGCTGACACACTCTGGAAGTAACAGATACTAAAGCTCATTCTGAGAAGGGCAAACTAGGGCACAGGCCAACAACTAGGGCACAGGCCAGCCCCTACCACACAGCTAAAGAAACAAGAATGCAAAGAAATGTCATGCGGAAAAAGGATCACAATAGTTCTACAGGATCCGAGGGTTACAAGTTAACCAGTGTGAGAAAGCCATGAAGCTCTTTGTAATTCCTAGTAAAAGGCAATGTAGTCCAGAGGTATCATGAACTGTCACAGAGGAAATTCACCTCCTACACATGACAGGGGATAAGCATGACCCTCTGCTGAGGAGACCCAGGGCCAGGACACAGGGCTGGATTGTGTGACCACTGAAGACTGCCCAAAAGACACAGTCTAGGACACAGTGAGGAGCAAAAATGACACACTTGAGAAGAAAAAGAAAAGTCCATAGATCTTGGTGACTAACTAGAGAAAAGTTAAGTGAGATAAATGCAACGTCAAATATGGCTACAAATTGTTTAATCTCAATCAGGGGTTGCCAGTCCACAGTCAAATTCTAGCCTCTGCCCTGTTTGGATGGCCCCAAGCTAAGAACAGTTTCTACATTTTAAAAAGGTTAAATGATGAACTCTTATATAAATACCTACACAACTATGAGTCATGTTGGCTCTGGCCCACAAAACCTAAAATACTTACTATCTGGTCCTTTAAGAAAGGATCTGGTGATCCCTGACCGGGATAACTGAGGGTGGTAAAGAGTGTGTTTGTGGCCCACTAAGTGTAAACTCCATGAAGGCAGGAATGTGTCTTTTTTGTTCTCTGCTGTTTCCCTGTAACCCAGAACCACCACCAACTGCAGAAAACAACCTTGCTCAGTAGTTAAGTGGTTAAAAAAAAAAGGCTTCAGGGTAACTGAGAGACAAGGGAGTGAGGTAAATGTGAGAGCATCAGGTTAAAGGTCCTGACCTTAAGCACAGAAAGCAAGTGATCACACAGAGTAAAACACAGGCAATCCCTCTTGAGGTTAAGGCTGATACACAATGGCAGCTCTTTTGCTTCTCTTTCCGTTTCTTTAAAACTGGATTTCTTTAAAACTGCATCATTTCTGTCCCATTGAGAATTTTTAAATTCAAACACCTAATGATAACATGACTTTAAAGTACCCACAAGAAGACCTTACCATTCTTAGTACTATCGAAAACGACAACTGAAACATTAGTCGAAGGGTTTTTTGGTTTTGCAACATTGAATATGTCGCTGGCAGAATGAAAAGAAGGGTAGAGAGATGGTAGGTCCTTCAGTGTGACGTTGGTCGGCAGGGCAGGGTCCAGGACAAGCATTGGCACCTTAATGCAGTGTGTCAGCAAACATTCCAGCTGCTTCTCACTGGAAAAAGACACCAACATGCTCAGAGCAACATTCCTGAAAAATCAATCAATGCTAAAACGCTGTCGGTACTACTAAATTTTCCAGACATTTGTCTAATAACCTATTAAAAGTCATATTTTAATAAATAAGGAATTTTATCTCAAGGATATAAAACTTATTCGTTAGCAAGTATGACATATAAAATCATTAAACAAGTGTAAATCTAAAGATAGAGCTTTCAAATTTCTATTAACAAAATATAATTGCCACCAAAATTTACTAACTCGAAGTGGCACTAAAAAAAGGCATTTCTTTACTGTCATTTTAAAGATTATTCATGCCCTAATCGGCTTTGCTCAGTGGTTAGAGCATCGGCCTGCAGACTGAAGGGTCCTGGGTTCGATTCTGGCCAAGGGCACATTCCGTAGAAATCTGTGAGTTTGTTCTTTTCATTTTCCTCTCAACCCTTCTGGAATGTTGCATCACTACTTTAAATAATTTAAAAGGCATTTAAAAATAATGGTATTAACAGCAGAATATACAAATAAATATAAATAATTAACATAAACAGACAATTCAGGAGGTACTTCTGGATCTCAAAATTGCTCAGGATCATTTTTCTGAGTAACTCCTTTATTTTAAGTCTAGTGGTTAAGTGGGTAAGTGATCGTTAACAGAGATTTCCACTTCTCAGCAAGACAGTCTTGTTTTAAGGATCTAAGTCAAGCATGATTCAAATCAAGACAGGTAGTAAGTCTGTTTTTGTCATTCCCTGCCCAGTCCTCAAATATAACACATACAACGTTGACAGCTTTTAAAGGTAAGGAAATATATATTAAGTATATAATTTTAAAATGGACATAAATGAAAACACGGTGTATAAGTTAGAGTTTAAGTGGACCAAGAGAACAGTACACCAAGGATTAATGGGAATGACAGAGAAGAAAAACCTTTCTAACCCTTCCAAGAAGTGATAAGCTTTGGTTAGTTTGCTACAACCCAAATAACCAGAGTTCTTAATCAACCACGTTTTTGGTACTGCAACATTTCCCATCTAATGAATTCATATAATTTGGTGTCAAAAACTAGCCGAAGAGGTACTGAACAGGAGCAGAAGAGTTAATACAAAATACTGTGTTCCCAACAAAAACATGTGAGAACCTGGAAGTCTCACCTCAGCCCTTCCATTTGTATTCCTGAGAGGAGAATCGGACTGCTTACCTCTTCTTAGTTGGTTCCGTTGTGTTCCTCCCAAGGGTTTCTCTAATGAAAGCAAATACATTTCATTACACATGCATGGACTAGTGCCAGCTCTACACGTAAGATTTCACTTCCAACATCCATCTTCTTGGTTACCCCAGTGGAACTAACCAGCAGGTTAGAAACATTAACAGAGCTGGCACTTGTAACATTTAAGGTACATTATACATTATTTATTTCAGTGAAATCTGATCAACAAATATTATCATGTACCTTCCACAGTAACCACGACAGTTGACTTAAAATATAAGCTTTTACGATTTACTAGTAAAACGTGGTACCAGGCAGTAAAACCGTTTTCATGCACTGGGAAGGCCTTACATTGTTCTGACACTGGGAGAAAGAGACTGTTTGTTGCAGTATAACCTGGCCAATGACCTGCAACTGGGGTGCACCCAGAAAATTCACAAAGTGAATGGAGAAGTTCTCAGTAAACACTCCTGAGGAACCAGAGGGGAAGTCACATCAGCCAGGTCCCTTGCAGTGAAGGCTCTAAGAAGCCCACTGCACCTTTCCCAGATAAAGTAAATGATCGAAATTCCATATTAAAAAAACATTACCAAAGTTTCTAGTTCTATAGTGTCCTAATTGAAATATCAATTAGGGAATATACTTTGTGCTGCCTTTATTAAATGGAAAAAAAAGTCAAATCTGTAGGCCTGTTTTATTTTTCAAGGGATTAACCCATCTTACTGTATAGCTATTTTACGTAATAAAACTTTACTTCTTGAGGATTCCTGGGACTCAGGCTGAGTGAGCAGGAAGCTAGAGCTCCTCCACCTTTAGGCTCCTCCACCTTCAGGCTCCTCAGAGACCAAGGCCATCGCTGGAACACCACGGTCTAAAATGGCCATCTAACGAAGTGAGGCCAGGACCTCACCAAAGTGGCCGAGTCCTCTTTAGGAACCAAGAAACAGGGGTGGGACACATGGCTGTCAAGATGTTGCAATGGCATGGATCTGAGAGGCAGTTTTGCTTGGGTAGCTCTGTGAAGGTCACCTTGCCCTCTGAGCTATACTGTTCCCGGCACCTGTAGAACCTTTTGTGCTTTGTGTTTCGAGTCTCGCTTTTACCTCATTGCTCTCTGCTCCTCTTCCATCTGCTCCCGGACTTGCTGCAGTTCCTTCAGGAGTTCAAGGTCGGTGCCATTCACCCAGGTGTACACCACGTCGATCGGCATGGGCAGGCAGAGCCTAGGGGAGATCCACAAGTCCTCCAGCTCACATGCACTTTCCCAATATACTTGGGAATGAAAGTATGAAGGGTTTCAACTTAGAGGCTATGAACACACCAACGAGGAGGTAATTCCACCATGGGATACATCACAGAACTGCAAGTTTCAAACTGGAGCCGAGAGCTAATATATGCTGAGAACCTTGTTTATGCAGTTTGTGTACTTGACGCCATTCGTACCAATCATCCTCACGACCACCTTGCATAGAGGCTGCTATCGCTCCACATGTAAGATTGGGGGGCATCGCACATGCTCACAGTAAACTGCTAAGTTCTCAGTTTAGCAAAAGTTGGTACACAAATGCAGCCAAACATAGAAAAAAATTAGAAGCTTAAAATGACCCAAAAGAGAATTATCGAGCAGTCCAGAATGAAGACAGCTCTGTACAGTGCTGCAGCCCTCCTGCTCCTTGCGGCCCCCAAGCCCTAGAATGTTCCTCCCCTAAATGTAAGCTCCAAGAAGGCAGGAAACTTCTGTTTTATTCTCTGAAGTATCCAACCGATGAGAAGAGTGCCTGGCACATAGTGCAGTATGTACTTGCTGAATGAGTCAGTGATTTCTGTGAGACACTAGCACAAAACTTCCCAAACCTGCTCGGGTTTTTCCTTATTATCTTATCCTCAGATAAGGAGTCAGGCAGACTTTTAATTCTTTGTTGTTGTTCTTTTGTTCTTTGTTTGTGGGGGTTTTTTTGGCTTTTAACTCCTGAGTATACTGTCTAAGCTCATCTTAGTGTTTTTTTTTTTCAGGCTGTACCCGTTAAAAGCTTTCTTCCCCTTTCTTTCATCAACTTACCCAAATCCTACCCATCTTTCAGGGTCTGCTCTGGACCTACGACACAGGAGTTTACAGTCACATAGGACATATACTTTGGATGGTTCTGTGTCCAATTTGGCCTTTTTCAAGTAATTGTATGGTACAGTTTTTTTCCCCTTTTCTGTTATTTTTTTTTTTAGGCCCAGGACCAAAGTTTACCCTCCTTTTGTCTTCCTCACAGGCCAGGCACAGGTTAAGGCCCATAGCAGTACAAAGGGCTCCAACGCCCAACCAAAACGCCATGTCTCTGCCTGTGGCTACAATCATATCATGCAGTGCAGGGTTAATTATCTCATGGAAAAATAAATGCGGTTTGGTGGGTAAATCTCTCTTATGATAAAAGGATGAAAAACAGAAGTGACAGCCACTTTTAGCTTAAAAGAAGCAGGTAAGATTACTCATTGAATAAGTATTTATTGAGCATCTAGTATGTGCTAGGCACTGTTCTAGATGCTGGGGATCCAGCAGTAAACAAATAAAAACTCCAATCTGTGCTTTCATGGAGCTTACATTCTAGAAGTAAAGACGGGAAATAAACCAAATATAGTCGGATGATGTTAAGTGTTATTATGGAGAAAACAAAGCAGGAAATGGGGAAACAATGTGTGCCTATGAGGGAGGTCCATGCCAAACGGAGAAATCGGCAACAGCCTCACTGTAAGGTGGCGGCCTCACTGTAAGGTGGCGTTTCAGCAAAGATATGATGTGAGGAGCAAGCCCTGTGGGTAAATGGGGGGAAGAATGGTCCAGAGAAAGGGAACACCCTGTGCAAATGCCCTGGGGCAGACATCTATCTGGCAAGGTCAGAGGCCAGTGTGGCAGAGATGATGGGAACAAGGGGAAGAACAGTAGAGGAGGTGGGGCTGACCAGGTACCAGGGGACCCAGAGCTTCCTGGGGAAAATGAGGAACCTCCTCACACTCAGGCACAGGTGAGCGCTAGCATCTATCATCCTTCTAGAGGTTCACCACTGCCTGCAAAGTAAAATCTAAACTCCGACACAATCTGCACCCTGTGCTCCAGGCACTCCAGCTGTGTGCCCTTACCACAGGATAAGACGTGGCCGGCTTTCGTGCCTTTGAAAGTGCTTCCCCTCTGCCTAGAATATCCTTTCTTTCGTGCTTCTTTCGACCACTTCCTCCCCAATCGCCCTCTTCCCACTCCTCCCAGGGAAGGTACTGCTTAGAGCGCAGCTCCCGCTGTGCTTTGTACACTAAGGAATCCTTAGCACAGTGTGGGATGTTTTCTATGCGTGTCTAACTTCCACTAGATGGAGTCTCTCCAGGGCTGAAACGTTATCAGGCATTCTGTGCCCTGCCTCATTATTTCCTCTTTCCTTTATCTTCAGGCTCTCCCCTCCTCCTACCACAGTGGTGTGTAAAAGCTTTCTCATGTAGGTTTTTTCTGCATTTATCTATATCGATGGTTCTCAAATGTTAAAGGTATCACACTTACCTGTAGGATGTGCAGAACAGATTACTGGGTTCCATCCCCAGAATTTCTAACTCTTTCTGTCTGGACTGGGGCCCCAGAATGTGCATTTCTAACAAGCTCCCAGGTATTGCCAATGATGCTGGTCTGAAAATTCACTTTGAAAACTGCTGGTTTAAATGTAGGTTATAGTTCACATTTTTAAGTTAAAAATAAAAGCTTCCCCCACTAAGATGTCAGTTCCATATGAGTTCAATGAGTTCCTTTAATTCACCATTACATGCCTAGGAACAGTGCCTGGTACCTGAATGGGGTTTAGTATATACTTGTTAACTAACTATTAGTTCATTCCCTCAGCATATACACTGGTCTTTTCCATTTTAAAAAATGCCTCCCATTACCTTCATGTAGATTACTCAAGGTCATCTCACTCTCAACTTCTCAGGCGCATAGACTGAAAATTAATTTTAAAAAAACTGCTTAAGTGAGCCCGGCCGGGTGTGGCTCAGCGGTTAAGCGTCGACCTAGGATCCAGGCGATTGGGGTTCGATTCCCGGTCAGGGCACATGCCCAGGTTGCGGGCTGCAGCCGATCAATGACTCTCTCATCCTTGATGTTTCTGTCTCTCTCTCTCCCTCTTCTTTCCTCTCTCTGATATCAATAAAGATACATTTTTAAAAAAAACACACAAAAAAAACTGCTTAAGTGATATAATTTTAAAAAAGAAAAAGAATTGCCCATTCCAAAGCTTTCCTGTAAAAATTAATATCTGCTATTAAAGATTTTTTAATAGAATCAAGAGATAACCACACATGTTGGATTGAGGAAAACAATGTTAAGTACATAAAGCATTTACGTACTGGTTTTTCTAATAAGGCTGTGTTGTAAGATCAATTTAATTCTTTGGTATTAAACTAACAAACCTAAGGAGACCATGTGATCTGCTCTGGGTCAGTGAGTCAACTGTTTCCCCATTAGACATGGTCACAGTACATGTGAGTCTTTCGTTCTAACCATGAGACCACTATCTTGGTTTCCAGATGAGAAGGAAGTCTTTGGCTTACTTACACTGAAGACTGTATAAGTCACCTATGACTCAAAACCAAAGCTGTGGTGAGAGTCACACAACTTTTATTTTAACCCGTTTAGCTTAAATGAATAAAAAGGGACTTGGTCCTATATTCTATAAAGTAGGTAAGAAAACTTAGAACTTAAACAGTACCTCAGGACCAAAGAGTTGGGAGAGATTTTATACGTAATCTAATACCTACAATTTAGAGAAGAAAAAATTGAGCCCCAAATTGATGTAATGTCTCACAATTAGTAGCAGTACATAATGTATATATTCGCCTGTTACTGACATATAGAATGGGATTTTTTTTCCCCCAGTCAGGGCAAACAACATTAAAAAGACTTATAGAGAAAGTAGCAAAACAATGAAACTTCCTATAAACATTACGGTATTCTAAAATATATTAGAATATGTGATACGCTATATATGATCAATTTACCTGTCATCATCAAAATTAGGCAATTTTGAAATATCCCTGCATAAAAATCAAACAATATTTTAATGCAATCGAAAAGTAGGAAAATAAATATATAACACACACTCACACAAAAAAAATTCTTCAGAAAGAGAACACGAGTGTTTGCTTAAAACTGCTGACCTCAGTATTTGGACTTTCTAAGCTAGTTTTCCTTTTAAAGGTTGGGAAGCCCTCGGGGCAGGGATTTATATAGCTGTACCATCTACACCTGGCATGGCATAAGGCACAGTAGGTTGACCAGGTACTCAATGAATGGTTGAGTAAGAAAAAAGACAACCCATGTGAACTTTCCTCAGAAAACTCAGTGTTACTAAAACGAAAATTGGAAAAGCAAGGAAACTGTATTTCATTAAGAATTCATTAGTGCAATAGTCCTCAAAGTGTGGTCAACAGACCAGTAGCTTCTGTATCATCAGTGGACATGTTACAAATGAAAATTCTCTGAACCCCTCTGAGCCCTACAGACTCAAGACACCTCTGGGGGTGGGGAGAAACTTTCTCCAGCTTTCCATGGGATCCTGGTGCATCCTAAAGTTTGAGAACTACTACATTAAGGAAATGGCTCTCAAACTTTAGTCTCCAGACCCTTCACACTCTAAAAAATTATTAAATCTCCCAAAAAACTTTTGTTTATAGATTGTAACTATGTGCACACCTGCCATATTTAAAAGTAAAAGATGTTTTAAAA